ATGTGAAACCCGTTTTTCGGAGAAACTAGTTTTTTCTAGACTAATTTTTAATAAACCTGGCTTATTTCTTTTTAAATACTAGTATCTGGTTTAGAGAAGACGCTTTGTCACATAAGAAGTCCTAGCCTACGGTAACCTAGCCGCGTTGCCACAATCTTTGTGACATTTAACATTAGCTGTCAAATTCTACTCGTATACTTTACATTCCCGTTTGCATATTTCACCAGACTTCCTAATTTAAAACAGATTCTAGTTTAAACTTGCGACTAATTATAACTTACTTTTTTAATGAGATGCAAGACTTCGATGTTATAGAGCCACCGTGCAGCTTTATTATGGTAGTAGCACGAATGGATCGTCTCGACCGGGGGGACCTCGACGCTCTCAAAGAATACCACCGTAAAATAGCAACTCAGTGCTACTGGGTTTCGTATGGTTGTGTAGAGAACATGAGACCATTTATACTAGAAATGAGGCATTCTATTTTAGTCCTCTCGAGTGACAATGTATTTGCATTTTGATTTTTAATCGAAAATAAATGTAGATGTCTATGGATCACACCATCCACTTACCATAAGGTGGACTGTGTGCACGTTTGTCACATTTCTTATAAAAAAGAAAGAAAAAAGGAGCATAAAAATTTGCTAAGCCGGACAAGATCGACTAGATATATACAAAGCTTTGGGCCACCTTTCATTCACCTTACAAGTCTGGTCGCTAACATTTGCAATTCCTACGTGGTTTTAAGAACTATATAAAAATAGTGTAAATAAATTAATGTCAGAAGGAAAGGGTGACAAACGAACACACGGTTCACACACGGCTGTAGCTGGGGGGGGGGGAGGGCATTGTGGGTCAATGCCCTACCTTTAAATCACAATGCCCTACCTTAAAAATACCAAATACTTAGATAAATTATTAAACTTGAATTGTTTGTTCTAAATTTGAGTACGTGTTTCATAGTTTGGTATCTAAACTTTTCCGTACATACCACAGTTTGTGAAATTCATTTCATATTATAATAATTCTTTGTTCTGTGTATAGAAAGATGGCTTTTGAAGCGCCATCACATGAAGGCGATGGGTCTGTTTAATTATAACCCTAATAGCCACTTGAGCTTTAAATTGACTGTAATTCGATGTTGAAATTACTTGAAATTTGCTGCCTTACTTTTTGCTTATTTAACTGATTTTACTCAGTCCCCCCCCCCATCGTGACCATGGTTGCTGTAAAGCACCCGAAAGGTCGGGAATTAAAAATAAGTAAAATCAGTTAAATAAACGCGATAGAATCCGTAAATTTAGTTTTATTCAATTTGTAGTGTTCGCGTAAATTTAAGAAATCATTAACTTCTGTAAAGTAAACTTTTGCTAAAGCAAACTATGCTATTAAGGAACATTTATTTATTTTATTTATTTAAAAACTTAAACGTAACACCTTAAGCTAAAGGGGTACATAGGGCGGACTTAATGCCATGTGGCATTCTCTGCCAGTCAACCCTGGGTGCCAAGGACAATTGTTGGCAGGTGCGACCATTATACGTAAATAATTACATTAAAATATATACATACATTAAAATATACATATATGCAAAGTACATACATACACATTACATTTAAGTATATATACACATATAGTATAAATATACGTACAATAATACATACATACATACATACATACATATATATATATATATATATATATATATATATATATATATATATATATATATATATATATATATATAATATATATACATGCTTATAAACTTCGTAAATAAATATAGAAATGAATGATATATATAATATGATGTTTGAATAATATATAATGAAATAAATATCTGAAGTAAAAAAGAAGAAATAAAGACAAAAATTAAGGAAAATAATGTTAATTAGTAGTTTCCTTCAGGTAATGTTCTCGGAGAAGAACTTTGAAGACTTTTTTATTTGCGGCATTCTTAATATCGTTGGGGAGGGTGTTCCAAAGTTGTATAGCTTGTATCGTAAAAGACGACCTAAAAAAATTTGACTTATGCTGTGGAAACCTTAACCTCAGACGTTTTGACTGTCGGTATGTTCGACCGTCGACCGGATGAAAAAAATGAAAATTATCCTTAAGATAAGAGGGCGACCTTGGATCGTTTAAAATTGAATAAAGTACAAGTAAAATTCTAGAGCATCGCCTTTGACGTATAGGTAGCCATTTAAGCTTTGAACGATAGGATGATATGTGGTCATACTTACGTAAACCAAAAATAAATCTTATGGAATTATTAAGAAGGCGCTCCAACTTGTTTAGAAGATTTTCTGACAAATCTGGGTAACATACATCGGCAGGGTCGATAATAGGAAGAATGAGGGAATGAACCAGCGTAAGCTTGGTTTTGAAAGGTAGGAAATTTTTAAGACGATAAAGGGAACGCAAGGTAGCAAGAACTTTACGACTAACTTCAGAGATCTGCAATTTCCAGGTCATAGTTTTATCCATGTACAGGCCAAGATTTTTTATGGAATCACAATATGGAATCAAAATTCCATTATAAATTACAGGAGAGAGATTTCCATAATCAACCTTAGCCAATAATTGCGAACTTCCGAATATGATAACTTTGCATTTGGCAGGATTAACAGAAACGCCATATTTACATGACCATTCTCTTATGGCTTCCAGGTTATCATTTAGTTTGTGTATTACAAAGTTAAGATTATTTAAGCTTGACTGTACATAAAGCTGGAGATCATCCGCATACAGATGGTACGAACAATCTAAAACTGAGGAGATAGAATTTATAAATAAGGAAAACATAATAGGAGAAAGTATTCCGCCTTGCGGCACACCAGATTCAATTTCAGCCCATACAGAAAACCGCTGACCTGAGCGAACCGATTGCTGGCGACCGCGAATATAAGAAGAAAACCATTCCAAGGCTGGGGATGAAAATTTAAGATGTTTAAGGATGGATAGGAGGATACCATGATCCACTGTGTTGAAAGCGTTTGAAAAGTCAATAAGCACCACCACTGTTAATTTTTGCTCATCTAAGCCCTTTCTTATATCGTCTGTGACTTTGATAAGCGAAGTGGTAGTACTGTGACCTGAGCGAAACTCCGATTGAAATTCATTCAGCAGGTTATGTTTTGCAGCGAATACAGATATTTGCTTAAAAACACAGGCTTCCAGAACTTTAGAGAGGTATGGGAGAATTGAAATAGGACGAAAATGGTTAGGGAAAACAGGATTAGGTATTTTAGGAAGAGGTCTTACAAAAGCCTTTTTCCATGCAGAAGGGTATTGACCTGAGTCCAGAGAATAATTTATAATGTGTGTTATAGCTGGAATAAGGTACTCAAGAATCATAGACACCATTTGCTTACTAATTTCATCAAAACCCACAGCCTTGGATTTAATGGCTAACAGAGCTTTTTTAATTTCATCCTGAGTAACAGGGGAGAAACAAAAGTCAGGGATCCGGAGAGGCTGCATTGATTCTATAGAAGCAATAGTTTGAGAACGGACTTGAGGGTCCAATGAAGTAATAGAAACAAAGTGACGATTAATGTCATCCAAATTGAGAGAGGCGCCATATTCCGGAGAATTAGATTTATTAATTCCGATAGACTTCAGGAATTTCCACGAAGAATTATTTATTAGTGCGAAGAATTAGTTATTTTGTCATGAATGTAGCGGCGTTTAGCATTTCGTACCACCTGATTGCATCTGTTTCTTAGCGTTTTAAAGTTAGACCAATTTTTTTCTGAGCGATTCTTTTTAAACTTCTGGAAAGCCCGATCTCGTCGTGTCATTGCCACTTGTACCCCTTTATTCATCCAGGGAGCAGGAGGACGCTTAACTTTTACATAATGTACCGGAGCATGAATATTATACAAGTTCAGGATGCTATTATTTAGAAAGGATATTTTATCATCGACGTTAGAAGCCGCCACCAAAGGGCCAAAATCAGTTGAAGATGCGTCTCTCCTGAGTCTCTCAATATTTATTCTTGAAAAATTGCGTAACTGCAGAAAAATAGGTTTCTGTTTTGGAGGTTTAAGTTTATATGAAAAATAAATCAAGTCGTGACGTCTGTGACGTGACGTGAACATCTGTGATGCAGAGAGGATTCCCGGTACCATATAGATTGATAATTATGGGCTATATTGCAATCTACAGTTCGGGGAATCCCCTTTTAAACTGAAATAAACATACACTAGAGATTGAATATGATTGTTTGTTTCTGTGGTTTGGTTAAGTGAAGGGTACGGTAAAAAGTTTTAGTCAAAAATCGATACAATTGTTATTTTTATTGCTAATTGCTACTAATTGAAGATTCGTTGATTTCGCGATGGATATACGGGCTTTCTTTGGAAAGAAACGAAGAGTTGAAGAGCAAATTGACCACGAAGAACCTCACTGCTCAAAACGGGTGGAAGCACAAAATGCAATCGCAGTCCTAGTTCCATGTCAACAGGTTGGTCAACACACGTTGGTAATGTTAGCTACGGTATTCCTTCTTATATTGCACAAATCGGAAAACCAATAAACTAAGTTTGGACACATATCCAATACAACATAACAGGGCCTTTGTTTTCGATTGGTTCATGCGTTATAAATGGTTGCATTAATCTGTCGAGAAGGATGCTGCTTTTTGCTATCCATGCCAGCCAATTTTACCTCATGGAAGCAAACAGACTTCGTACACTTACACAGGATTTAGAAACTTGAAAAATCACTAATTTTTAAACTTGTTTTCCAAAACATAAAAAATCAATTTCTCATATTCAAGCTATGTCGATGTGGCAGGAAAAATTACAAAGAATATCTACATCTAGCAGTGTTGAAACGTTAATAAATCAAAAAGTATTCGATAAATATAGGTATTACGTGAAGTCTATCATTGAAGTAATACAATTAGTAATTGTCAACGAGTTAGCTTTGCGTGAAAATTATATTTCGGAAGAAGAAAAAGAACAAGGATTATTTCAGAATTTATTTTAATACACATGTATAAAAACCAAAATTTGAACGAGGTTCTCACTCATATACCACAAAATGCAACAGAAATTCAAAAACAAATAATTCAAGCAAAGGTCCAAGCAGTACGAAGTTCCACTGTCAAAGATATTAATGAATCTGACGTGAAATGGTTTACTCTAATGGAAGATGGGACGAGAGGTAAAAATAACCGCGTAAATATTGCATTAGCAATACGTTACGTCAAGGATGGTGTCGTCAATAAGTCATTGCTGATGGTTAAGACTACTGAAAACCTTGATTCAACCACTTTCACGGAATTATCGTACAACCGCTAAATTCTACGATTTGCCATGTTATTATAAGTTCGAAGAACTTCGTTCTGATCAACTGGTTTTGTTCTTTGCTTTTCAAAGGCCAGAAATACTATAGCATTCTCCAGCCATTCTCTCGTGACCCATTGACAGCTTTTGAAGCCTATTGATTGCAATTAAAGTTGAAAACGTAGATTCGCATACTGCAGTGCTACATCCTATGGTACGAGTAAATAGATACGGCCAAAAATACCATTTAGATCATGCTGCAAACTTATTATAATAATTAACATAACAAAAATATTCAAAGCGGGCAAATTCTACGATTCGCCATGTTATTAAAAATACGAAGAAGTTCGTTCAGATCAACTGATTTTGTTCTTTTTTTTTCAAAGGCCATCAATACATACCAGACATTCTTACGTGACCCATTGACAGCCTTTGAAGCATATTGATTGTAGTTAAAGTTGAAAACGTAGATTCGTACTATCCTATGGTCGTCACAAATGCAAAAAGTTCATATGTATCTTCGAACGCCTCTCATTGCCGGTACCAAACTAGCAATGTATTTTCCATTTTATCCTCGTTACGACTCAAGTAAGCAAGCTAGCACGCTAGCTTCTTCTCTTGATGGAATTTTCAGACAGAAATTAACAAGCGGTGACTGCGGCGAATCTGAAAATTGGACACAGACCTCGAATGCCTCGAAGAGGCATGTATAAAAACCAAATCGGATGGATGTCTATCTGACGTATGGCGTATTGGCCCCTCCTGTACCGCCACAGTTTATATAGTTATAGTTTATAGTAGTCCGAGGAGTGCTCTTTAGACACTGCCTATTCCCTCGGAGAAAATAGGCGTCATACTAAGTCTGTTCGTTTATTCACGAAGTTTCACAAAGGTACTTAATTGAAACAAACACTATGTTGCCAACACATATGGGCAATTTTATGTAAATAGGTATTTAAATCGTTGCACCTTATATTATAAATTAGCGGATACCTGGCGTGTGTTACTACGTTAAAAAAATAAATAAATTTTGTTTATTTGTTCGAAAAATAGGAAATTTAGTCTATTTATTAACTTTTTAACATAGTGCATGTTTGCATGCATTGTTGGCCTTTCGAATGAAACCGGTTTGGGGCACATCGGTCGGATTTGGATTGCTTTAAAGTACATATATAACGGACATACGTAGAAACATTTTTCGTGTTTTATGTTATTACTGCAAATAACCTTAACATCCTGATACAGTTATCTAATCTCTTAGTGCAAAGACACTAGTGTGTCTAGAGATTAAATAACGGACCATTTTAATATCTGAACTATACCACTTTAACTTTTAAAACAAGCTACGATGATCTCAACTTTGCTTTTACTCGTATATTACATAAACAAACAGTTTTATAAATCAAAGGTGAAATACGGCATCAGTGAAAGTAGTAAGAAACCCGTTCCTCGATTCGAATGTTAATAGAGTTGACGGAAATGACGTCACACAATGATGTAATCTTTGATCTGTTGCAGGCTATGGCATGACCCTGGGCTTCCCCACCATCCTCATTCCCGCAGTAATCCAGCCGCGCGACGGTGAAGTCCTGCACTTGAACGCTTCGGAAGTATCCTGGATTGGTTAGTTAATTATCTTACTATACTAATTGTTACTTTGTTTATACGTACGTGGTAGAGCCACGCTGCAGGTACAGTATGGTTGTATCACGAATGGGTCGGCACAACCGGGGTAGGATCACGCTCTCACAAAATACCAGCGTAAAATAGCATCTGTGGAGAAGCAGAAAACCTTTCCACGGGTTTCTTAATCGAGGATTAATGTAGATGTCTATGGGCCACAGCATCCGCTTACGATCAGATGGACTGTGTTTTCTGTGTTAAGGGTGACCCTTATTATATACATAAAAATGTTATGTATGTAAAGTTACAACCTATATAAGTCCCACTTCTGGGCAGAAGGGAACTCTCATTTTACGAGTGTAATACAGCAGTTAGGACCCCGCGCTGTTTCAATGCGTGTAAGCGAATTTCCCATTCATAGTCATTAATTTGTTACATCCTATTAAAAGCCCACTGCTTCATAGATCGCTCCATAGCTTGTCTCATGGAAGGACATTTGCCACACTTGCCACGCTTGGTTATATTGGCAACGGCAGTTTTCATGCCGACTTCAAAAAGGAGGAGCTTTACAATCACATTGGACCCCCGGTAATCCAACAAACATTTAGCAGGGCAGTGTCGGACTATCGAATTAGTTGGATTATAGAGTACTGCCTAAGATCCCTATCCCTATAGTCCGGAATTTTTTATAAAAGAGTAAGTGCCTTGTAATCCAACAAATTAGAAATATATTATATATTGTTGCGCGCCTAAGTTGACGTCATGTTGTGTCAGGGACGAGAGCGGGGGGGGGGCTTTCCAGAAAATGACATCACTAATCTTTCAACCGCCAGCGCCCTCTAGTGTCGAAACGAAGAACTAAGCTTCTAGAAGCCGACACTCGAACTTTCGACGCCTTGCGCGTATTTACTTGAATGTTCTGGATGTTTCGGTGCTAATGTGTATATTAGATAGCCGCTGCAAGGTGCGACCGGGGAAGTATTGAATTTGGCAAGACAAGCGAAGCTTCGGAGCGGAATAAAGTGAATTAGTGTGATTAATTGTTAGTCTTTTAAGTTTTGATTAGTGTAAAGTGAATTAAAGAGTTAATTTTAGTAATTCAATTGCGCGGCAGTTTTCATCGATGCCACGGAACAACGCAAGCGAAAAAAACACCTAAAAAGGGGAACACAAGCGGGAAAAAATAATTAAAAAAAAAAAAAGTCACGAACCTCAAGCTCGTAGCAATTGGTGTCAGAAGTGGGATCAAATCATGCTGATTTTACCGAAGGAGGAATCGGAGGGGTCCGTACCCGAAGTCAACGCCAGCACGAGACGGACCAGAGGAGATTTGGTGGTGCAACGCCGCAGACGTCGGAGGGTCAACTGCCAGCCACGGAGGCTGCGGGCCCGTCAGTAGCTCCTACATCTGCAGCACCTGACTTAGGTGCTCTGATGGCGATGCTACAGGAGCAGCTACAGCGCGGACGAGAGGAATAGGCTCGCCGATAGGAGGAACAGTTCCGTCGGTTGGAAGAGCAGCTGCGGGGCGGACAGGAAGAACAGGCCCGCCGACTGGAGGAATAGCCCCGCCGCTTAGAAGAGCAGCTGAAACGCGACAAGGAAGAGCGGATGCTTCTCATGAAGGACTTTCACGCTACCTTCGGGAAAGAGATAAGGGAGGTGAAGGATAAGGTTGCTCAACATGATAAGCGCCTGTCGGAAGCTGAAACCCAAATCAACCAAGTTAAGAAAACGCTGGATGAACTCAAACTTGGAGATGAAATTGCAGCCCCCGCAGTAGCTACAACACCTTCGCTACGTGGCTTCAAAGTGCCACCGTTCGACGGGACTTCTTCCTGGTTAGCATACAAAATCCAGTTTGAGGCTATTATGAAGGCGAACGGCTGGAATAAAAGTCAGGCCATGACTGCTCTCACACTAGGCCTGCGCGACCAGGCCTTAACAGCTCTGGAAGCTCTCGGTGAGGAAGTGACTTATGAGCAACTCCTTGAGGCATTGGAGGCGAGATATGGCGACGCTCACCTGGAACACGTCTTTCGTGCGCAGTTTAAAGATCGCGTGCAGCGCATCAACGAAAACCTGCAGCAGTGGGCTCTAGAGGTGGAGAAGCTGGTGCGAAAAGCATACCGGTCTGTTTCTGTGCTCATTGAAGGGAACCTGGTGCAGATATTCATCGACGGCATCCGCGACCTTGAAGTCAGAGCTGCTGTGAGGCTCGGGCACCACGAGACGCTTAAGGACGCCTTGGCCCATGCACTGGAGGTGGAAGCCGTGCGGCAGGATCATCGTTACCATCGCGTCAGTGAGGTTGCAGCAGCTACAGTTTGCGACTGCAACAAAGGATACAGCCCTAGGTGCTATGGCTGTGGGGAAAGGGGCCATCTTCGATCCAACTGCCCTAAACGAACCCTAGAAAGGGAAGGTGAACGATCTCAGGAGGGTAGTGCGGCCAACAGCACCGCCCAGCAGCTGCAGGAAGAACTGGACATCAAGCCGATTCTGGAATGGATGAAGGCCAGTGCACCCAAGCCCAAGTGGAGCGACGTCTCAGCAATGAGGTCGACCACTAAAAGCTATTGGGCCCAGTGGGACAGCTTGCTGCTTCAGGATGCAGTTCTGTGCCGTAAATGGGAAAATGTTCAGGGAGACAGCTGTCATTTGCAAATGGTTGTCCCTAAAGCTAAAGTACCGGATGTTCTACAGCTGTACCATAATGATTATTCAGGAGGCCATCTGGGAGTTAAACGAACTCTGCTGAAGATCCGAGAACGGTTTTACTGGGTCCACCGTCGAAACGATGTCGAGGACTGGTGTCGCAAATGTACAAGTTGTGCGGCTGTAAAGGGACCTCAGACTCGTAGTAGAGGTGCATTGAAGTTGTACAATGTTGGTGCACCATGGGAGAGACTAGCCATTGACGTGGCGGGGCCGTTTCCGGAGAGTGAAAGCGGTAACAAGTATTTCATGGTTGTGATGTATTACTTCACTAAGTGGCCAGAAGTCTTCGCCATTCCAAATCAAGAAGCTTCAACAGTTGCAGATAAACTAGTTCATGAAGTCTTCTGTCGTTTTGGAATACCTTTAGAGATTCACAGCGATCAAGGAAGGAGTTTGAGTGAATTTTGAGTCTCAAATATTCCAGGAAACTTACTGAACCATAAGAGTTATGGGTACTCATAAAACAAGAACGACTTCTTATCATCCGCAATCTGATGGAATGGTAGAACAATTTAATCAGACATTGGAGAGGTACCTAGCAAAAGTTGTAGACAATCGGCAACGAGATTGAGACAAGCACATACAACCGTTTTTGTTGTCATATCGAAGCGCTGTTCGCGAAAGTATAGCAGTGACACCAGCTTTCGCAAACTTTGGAAGAGAATTACGGCTGCCTGCAGACCTGATCACCGGGATACCACCTGATGCCCCACGCAGTATAACCGATTATGCAAATGACTTGCGGAATAAAATGAATGACATTTATGAGCACGTCAGACGATCGGGCCAGCAAATGTCTGAGAAGATGAAAACCCGGTATGACCGCAAAATAAACAATAAAGGGTTCGACGAAGGTTTACTAGTGTGGTTGCACAATCCAGTCCGCAGCAAAAGGAAATCTCCTAAGCTTCAAACTAAATGGAACGCCCCGTACCGGATTGTAACCAGGATCAACGATGTAACCTACCGTATACAGAAAGGCGCAAGAGGGACTCCTAAGATCGTCCATGTGGATCGCTTGGCGCGTTATTATGGGGCCGATAATGCTCGGGACGAGCATGTCTTAGGAGGGGGCAGTGTTGCGCGCCTTAGTTGACCTCAAACAGAGCGGGGGGTGGGGCTTTCCAGATAATGACATCACTAGTCTTTCAACCGACAGCGCCATCTAGTGTCGAAATGAAGAACTAAGCTTCTAGAAGCCGACACTCGAACTTTCGACGCCTTGCGCGTATTTACTTGAATGTTCTGGATGTTTCGGTGCTAATGTGTATTTATAGGCGCTGCAAGGTGCGATCCGGGGAAGTATTGAATTTTGCGAGACAAGCGAAGCTTCGGAGCGGAATAAAGTGAATTAGTGTGATTAATTATTAGTCTTTTAAGTTTTGATTAGTGTAAAGTGAATTAAAGAGTTAATTTTAGTAATTCAATCGGCAGTTTTCATCGTCACGAACCTCAAGCTCGTAACAATATGTACTCTGAAGTACAAATATACTTCATTATGTATGTCAAATTTAGTAAATTAAATAAAACAATAGAGAGCTTACGTTTTATTATAAAATTGACGTCATTAGAGCTATAGAACTTACAAAAAATATGCAATAACTTTACATTAGGAAATAATTGTGTGCAAACAAATGTTTGTTGTACATACTAAAATAACTAAAAATTATGAATCAATCAATTTAAGAAGCATCAATTCAAACGTTATCAAGAAGCAATAACGCTTTTTGAGGACTTTTATGATCTTTCAACCATTTTCAAAATCAAATTCTTCAATCAGAATCAAAACAAAACCCACAAGTTATTCAAGAGTAAATTGAAGAAAAATTTCCACCCATGAGAAAAGCAAAATGAAGTTTTTAATTCACTTAATTGGACGATATTGAGATTGTGTTAATCTCTAGTCCACTCAAAAGGGAAAAAATATCTTTAAAGGAAAAAACGAACTTCACAGAACTAAAAGGATTAATTTTTTACGCCATGTCTTAGAATGTGAAATTGCTTCATTCCTTTTAATTATCTGGAGTCGGCAATTAATTTTTAATAAATTTTATCTTTTTTTACTAATTTCAGTTACTATCAAGAAGATGCTGATGCTCATCTCCTGTTTAATTTAGTGTTAACTATTACGACACCAACGGGTTGGTATGGAGTGGCGAAATACTCTTACGGTTGTCAAATGTTAGGTTTCATATTGTGGAAATATTCAAATAACAATTTCATTATAGCGGAAAACTATCCTTGGCTGCACTTACTGCGAAATTTACGAAAAGATAACTCGTGGTAAATTTCTAACCCTGAGTTACCAATGCTCTTGTTTACGGTTTCCACTTCTTTTAGTACAATGTAGATAAATCGTAAATAACTGGATCGAACTCCCTTTCCTGCTTGTGAATTCGTTTGACACTCTTACCAATTTCTCTCTTCAAAAGCAGCAAACCAATACTGAGTTTTTTTTTTATAGAAACGAGCACTCAACCCACCTGATGGTAAGTGAATGATGTGACTAATAGACATCAGAAACAAAATTCAGGTACGTTGTTCACGCCTGAGGACTAAAATGGAGTGCCTCGTTCCCCGTTAAAAGGATATCCAGTTCCTTACACCCACTGCACGAAACATAGCAACATTAAGCTGCTATTCTGGTATTCTTTAACAACGTGGACCACGTTGTTGTTTCCCTGGTTGTGCTACAACTCTAATCAACTCTAATATAACAATAGCAGGGCTCTACCACGTGTAAAATTTTACTGTTTTTTTGCTGTACGAAATATAAAGGACGAAGCAAGCCGTTTGGTTCGAATGCGTCGTATACGGTACAAAAGCTCGTGGAGCACCGTCTTTTGCATTTGAACCTGAAGTGGTTATTCACGTGGTCCCAGTCGCCCCGGATTAACCTAGAGGCTAGCCAGGGGCCGTGATAGCTCAGATGGTTAACACTCGCTGTAAATACAACAGAACGCGAGGATTCGGTCCCCGCCGGCACCAATGAAATTGCTAATTGCAATTTTAAGTGCTGATTTACCACGTGCTCGGCGGTCAAGGAAAACATCGTGAGGAAACCTGCATGTCTGAGGTATAATAAAAAAATACGTGTGGCACTCGGTGACTGCCGCGGTAAAGCTATTGCATAGCATTTTTTATCAACTTATGCAATTATAATTATTTATTTATTTTATTTATGCAGTTAAGTCTTTGATATTAAATCAAGTTACACTTTTTGAGCGTGGTGACCGATAAGAAAACAATTTTTTTTCTCTTATTGAATAAATGAGAAGTTAATATTGTTTAAAATATTTTTAATATCTTACAATACATCTAGGTTATTCAGGAATTTTTATCATTGAGTTAGCAGCTAGTGTACACGCACACAAACACCGTGCCGAAGTCTGCCGAGTGCCGAAGTCTGCCGAACTAAAAGGACGTTAGACGATGCACGGCTTTCAACGCCACACCTCCGTGCCCGTCGGAGTGGGGAGCGTGAGTTTTTTACAGAATTTCTGGATTCGGTCCTCGCGCTCAAGACCCGCGATAGAAGCTATGCAATAGCTTAAAAATATTTCGAAGACATGTGAAGTTCGTCAATACGAAGTTGGGACAGCGCGGCGGACACTTCCTTGCCCTGAAACCCTCTCAGAAATGAGGAGAAACACTTTACTGGCCAGGATTAGCCTGTATGACTACAGAAATAATTATAGTATTTTTTTCACTCTTCAGGTTCCATCAACCTCATCGTGGTTCCCTTGGGTTGCGCAATGTCTGGCGTTGTGACGTCCCCGTTAGGAAGGCGGCGCGCCATGCAAGCAGTGAACCTGCCTTTCTTCATAGCGTGGCTCATATTCCACTTTTCGTCAACAACGGGCCACCTGTACGGCGCCTTGTTCCTCACCGGCCTGGCCGGTGGATTGCTTGAAGCACCCGTAAGTAAGTTGCGAAATAACACTTCGTTTTTAGCAACTTCAACAAAGGTAAAATAAAATAAACTTTTGGTAAATCCAAATGTGCATGCCTTAAGCGCTCATGTTATACGTCAATTTTTTAAAGTATTTTAAATACACACAAGTTTTCACTAATAACATTGTTACTATAACTTCAAATAGTCCGATAATTTTACGAGTATGTCAAAAGGCAACAAAAAAATTAGTTGACCCTGCGGGTCATCCCTGGAACTTCCCGCTAATTTCAAATACAAAACGCTCGAAATTTCACCAAATTATGTTGCGAAATCTCGAAGCTATGTTAAAAAAGTTTTTTTTCAATTCTTTCTTCTTCGATATCTCACGAACGCATGAACCGATTTTTATTTTCCAAACGACATTCAACGTCATCTTTCGAGGTTAAGAGCTGATTAATTTGAAAGGTAAAGGTAAAGGCGTTTAGAAGATATTCCATAAAACAGTTTTTCAAAATTTTTGTTTTTGAGATTTCTTAAAATCTACTCGTCCGAATCAGTTCATATTATCACCAAATCTATTCCACATTGAGATCTGAAATTAGGGAAACTAGTTAGAATAGCTTCCTGGGATCTCAAAACGTCGAGATCCGATGAAAACTCGATTTTCGAAAATCGGGGTGAAACCAATAACTTCCCTATTTTTGAAAATTTACAATTTTTTTAGCGGAAAGTTAAAAAGTTTTGAAAATCCAAAAGTTTACGACTCATAATGCTCATATGATCGTGGAAAAATGTAGAAAAATTCTCAATCAACAATAGAAAGTATTTTTTTTAATTTTACTATGTCATATTATCACTAAATCTATTCCACATTGATATCTGAAATTAGTGAAATTAGTTAGAATAGCTTCCTGGGACCTCAAAACTCGATTTTCGAAATCGGGGGTGAAACCAATAACTTCCCTATTTTTGAAAATTTACAATTTTTTTAGCGGGAAGTTAAAAAGTATTGAAAATCCAAAGGTGCACGACTCATAATGCTCATAAGATCATGGAAAAATGTAGAAAAATTCTCAATCAACAATAGAAAGTATTTTTTTAATTTTACTATGTTATTATTAATGAGAATCAATTTTTTTATTATTGTTAACTGGAAAATTTTAACAGAATTATCTTAAAACGATCAAAAATCTCTCTCAGACATTATCGTAAAAAATATTTTTTTTTTACCTGACTCGTTCATAATTTTTTTCTCATCAACTTAATTTAGGTTCGTTTTCAAAAAGTTTTTCATCTAGTCATAACCAGTATTTTAATTTAGCATTTACCAAAGTACATTTTCAGGTCACTCCATAAAGTACAAGACGTATAAGTAATATCTTATACGTAGTAGAGCCATGCTGCAGTTATATTAGTAGTATTGTTGTAGCACGAATGGGTCGGCTCGACCGGGGAAGGACCACGCTCTCACAGAATATCAGCGTCAAATAGCAGCTTAATGCTGTTGTGTTTCGTATGGTGAGTGTAGGGAATCGGAGGGAAACCGTTTTACTGGAAACGAGGCATGCCATATTAGTCCTCAGGCGTGACAACGCACAATACCGTCTTTAGGCACGGCCCAGGGCCGGCTCGTGCACGGGCACTCGTGATGAAAGGCGTAGGCCTTATCCGCTTACGCTATACAATCTTTTTTTAGGGTTCCGTAGTCAACTAGGAACCCTTATAGTTTCGCCATGTCTGTCTGTCCGTCTGTCCGTCCTCGCTTAATCACCTAGATCGTTAGCACTAGAAAGCTGAAATTTGGTAGCAATATGTGTATCAATCACGCCGACAAAGTGGTAAAATAAAAATTGGAAAAAAATGTTTTATTAGGGTATATATGTAAAGTGGGAAGTGTTTTTTTTTTAATTTCAACCCTAACGTGTGATACATTGTTGGAAATGTATTTAAAAATGAATAGGGGTTTACTAAAATCATTTTTTGATAATGTCAATAATTTCGAAAATAATCGCTCCAAAATTAAAAAACAATGTGTCCCCCCCCCCCTCTAACTTTTGAACCATAAGTTTAGAAAATATGAAAAAAATCTGAAAAGTAGAACTTTATAAGGACTTTCTACGAAAATAATTTTGAACTTGGATGGAAACAACGGTACCCACTACCGGGAGCAGTTGCAGGAGCGCGGAGCGCTGCTGGAGCGCGAACGTAATGGATACCCACCTTTAAACTCATAAGTGGGAACACTTATTGTAACGGACGGGAAACTACGGAACCTTACACTGAGCGTGGCCCGACACGCTCTTGGCCGCTTTTATTTCTATTTTAGGAAGATATAACCCGACAAAAAATTTGAGTACCTAAATCAGAGCGTGTTTAGTGACTTTCTGGTTTCTGGCAACCCTGAGCAGTAACAAGCCACACATTGCCAAGTTAGCCAGATAAAGTGACATTGACAGATTTCCTAGGTATAAAATATGTATCTAAACGCTTTTGTCGGGCTGTAAAGTCGCCTTACTCTATCAGATAAAAATATCATTTCGTACTGTTTAATAAAAATAACATTTCAAAAGATTTAACAGCAAATGATTTATTTCGTACGATAATTTTCAACCACAAATATTACATTTTATAGCAAATAATTGTTACGATCCTTATTTTTACGCAAGTGAAGTCTAAATTTTAATGTAGTAAATAAAAAGAATACACGTTTTCATGTTATAATAGAATATTTTCTTTTTCTGAAAGAAAGTTCAGAAAATAAACATTAAAGTTTAAATTTTCCTAAGAAATTATCATCCCCGCTATGAAATCTGCCAAATATTTTACCTCATCGCTGTATAAAGGATATAGAGCGATTAGTATCCCGCATTGTAAAGTGGCGCCGCCCTGGTAGCAGAAAAAGTGCGGATGCCCTCATTAATGAGATATTATCTGATTTTTACCAATTAACTATAATAAATATAAGAATATAGTAGAAAAATGTTATTGTCATTCATTTTTTTACTTTCCAACAAGGCCCCAAATTCTTGTGTGCCCTTGGGGCCCCGCTATGGCCTAAGACTGCAATGATAACGCATCTGCATTTTCATTTTTAATTGTGGAGAAATATCTAAGAGCCACAGAATCCACTTACCATCAGGTGAACTGTGTGCTCGTTTGTCAACCTTATTCAATAAAAAGGGGGCGTAGAATTTCAACTAAATAGTTTTAACGTACGTACGCGTAAAATACATACGTACGTACATGTTATGCGATATCTCTATTTATAAAAATCAATTGATGTTCGTTAGTAACTGGAAAACTGCTGAACATATTTTGACGTATTTTTTGTGTTCGGGTCCCTGGATGGTTTAGATTTACAACTGAACCCGGGAGGTGGCGCTGTTATCGAGATCCAGAAATCATCCGTGCAAAGCCGGGTCTGACCGCTAGTCTTCGATAACATTGAAGAGATAATTTTTTTTAATAAATTCTCCATATTTCAAGGGTGATCTAATTTAAATTTGAATAAAACGTTGCGCTAAAATAAGTGAACTAAAAATAGAGAAAGAAAATTTTATTGTAACAATTTAAACAACATACTAGTTACCTTGAGGTTGCCTGATGTCTAGTATTCTCTACAATGTCTAGTAATTAATCTTAAAGCGAAATTAATAACCACCTTCTAAAAAAATCTGGGTGTAGCTGTGTTGTGGACACGTTAGGGAGAAATTATATTACATAACGAAACAACCTTTAAACGGCGACGCTCACCCATCCGCCGCGCACGATGCATCGCGGTTCTCACTCAACGTAACGAAGTCTTTGATCCTTAAGCTATAGAGTAGTGTAATTAAATTTTGTATAAAGATGATATTTACGTAGCTGTAATGCCCCATTTACACTCAGCCACCGTTATTGCTCCGATCGCTGCCAGAAATATTTCACTAAATACTTTTGCGGCAATAACGACGCGAGGTGGGTGTTTACACTCAGTCTTCATACTTACATTCTTTATTGATCAACTCGCAATGTTTCCACGTGGTAGAGTCATGCTGCAGTCATATTAGTAGAATAGTTGTAGCACGAATGGGTCGGCTTGACCGGAGAAGGACCACGCTCTCACTTAATACCAGCGTAAAATAATAGCTTAATGCTGCTGTGTTTCGTATGGTGAGTGTAGAGAACCGGAGACCCTTTTTATTGGAAACGAGGCATTACATCTTAGTCCTCACGGGTGACAACGCATCTGCATTTTGATTCCTAATCGAGGATAGATGCAGATGTCTATGGGCCACAGCATCCACTTACCATCAAGTGGACTGATTTTGTGCTCGTTTGTCACCCTCCTATCCTATAAAAAAATGACTGACGTCGAGTTTATTGGTGTGACAGAATTATGTCCGCTCAGTATAAGTAGCTACTTCGTGCAATTTATGGTTTTTAACATTAGATTCCCATGTCCCTGGTCCTGTCCCACGGCTCAATTTTATAAAAGTCTAATAACTTAATTGTTTTATCATTATTAAATATCATTAACACTCGACTGATTTATAAACTAATTGCCGTTTTCTTTCTCGGTCGAACATTGGCGGTAGGTGATCGAGAATGTAAACACTCGATCTCGCTCGCGCTGCCCATCCTTTGACTTCCGCGCGAAAAACCGTCAATCGAGGTAGCGCCAGGCAGTGGCAACGGCAGCGGCAGTGACAGCGCGAGTAGCCTGTTTACATACACGCGTTACCCACTTCCCTGCCCAAAAAAGCTGAGTGTAAATGGGGCATAACACACAAACTCTATCCGCCGACTTTGTTTTCATCAGTTTTCCGAAGTGCCTCCCAATATAGAAGCAAACTGAAAGATGTATTCAGGTCAAAACTATAAGGAATGTAATAATTTGTACATAATTTTAATAGTGTCCGAAAAAGAACCTATGGCAATTGCCAGTGTTTGATCACAATCTCACCATGTGGTAAGTGGTGATGCAGCCTTAGATGGTAAATGGCACTGTCTTAGCGTAACAAAAGCCTATTCGCTCTTGCTTTGAATACCAGTTTCTACTCGGTAGGAGAAATAGATACTAACAAATTAATCCACTCCTCGTGTGCTCGTTTCTAAAACATATTATATAAAAGAACATTTAAATAAACCTACATATGCGTAAACCTCCATATATCTTTAAAAAGTGGTCATTAAGATGTAATGTTAGAGCTGATTCTTGATGATAAGATTAAAAATTATGTGATAAGAGAAAAGTGTTGCAAGAAGAGAAAGGAATCCTTCGATGGTTCGGACACGTACAAATAATGAATGAGGAAATTCTGACAAAGTAAATGAATGCTGTAGAAGTGAGTTGCAAAGTCGACAAGGGACGAAGGTTTATCAAACAAAGTAGTAAAATATTAAAGATGGACCCAATGAATAGTACCCATTACCGACCAGAAAGTAAAGTTAAAGACTGCATTTAAATAAAACTAGTTTTTACATATTCTATCGCGTATATATCCCGACGTTTCGAACACTTTACAGCTCCCATAGTCACGGGGGGACAGGTGTTCGACGTCCCAATATCATAGTTAACCACGGCTACCTCCAGATTAAAATGATTAATTTTTGCTGTGGTCTACGTAGTATGAACTTATGGTACCTATCTTGAAGTCTTGCTGTAGTGTGCTTTGGGTCGGGATTTAATTTTATTTATTATAGGATCCCAAGCAGATGGTAGCACCTAGCCATCTTCTCTATTGAAATTAGTATGTTTTTTGATTTCAATAGCCTCGCGAATCATCCTTGGAAGGAATTGGTGTTCTTTAGCGAGGATTTGTGGTCTATCAAATCTCATGTAGTGACGTGGGCGATCTTGTAGACTGCAGATTTCCCGGAGCGTCAATTCTTCACATCAGCTATGTGTTCATCAGGCATCGATCGTAAGCTCTCTTGTAGAGATAATAATAATATAATGAATGAAAACATTAACGAAACATTAAAAGAATTACTCGTATGAATATTAGTGTTATTATATCCTATATAAAAATAATATTATAGATATAATACCCTGTTTAGGATACCAGGATAAAATTGTTAAATGATTATATTGTCATCGGTCCTTGATAGGGGTGCAAATTTTCAAGTCAATTGGCCGTCTTTTCAGTTGGTGAGTTTACATTAAATGATTCATAGATAGATAAATAGATACACGCAAAGCTAACATATGCATGTTAAAAATGAAATGCTTTTCGATGGTAAGCGCATCACATGAGAACGACTGCAGACGTAATTTTTTAGTTTAAAATGTTCGTAATAGTCAGAATTTCTTATTTAATTATAATTATAATTGATTAAATATAATTAGAAAATTGGATGAATATTTCCTGGATTGAAATTTAGAAATAACAGAACGTCATTTTTTCTATGGTATTTTTGTGTGATGCCAAGACCGTATAAATAAAATGTTTTGATATAACTTAACGTTGTTATCACGTTTGACGGTCACTGAGTTCCATACACGGATTCGTGACCGTGTAAGTATTAATTTGTTGTACGGCATTGACTTATACGAGTATGTACTACTACTCGTACTACAGCATAGATAATAGTACTATGTAATGGATGTTGTAAGGCGATAAAACGCTTAGCTTGAATTGATTCGATTCTCCTACTCATTACAAAGAAAAGCTTTAAAAAATTATGAGTGAATAACGTGCTAGAACTATGCTGCAGCTACATTATGGTTGTAAATATATGTTTTTTATAGCTTAGCTTAGGGGACAAACGAGCACACAGTCCACTTGACAGTAAGTGTTGCTGTGGCCCGTAGACACTTACATCTATTCTCGATTATGAATGCAAATGCAGATGCGTTGTCACCTCTGAGGACTAATTTTAAATTATTCCTCATTGAATGCTTCTTTTCCAGTAAAAAGGGTCTCCAAGTCTCTACATTCACCATACGAAATACAGCCAGCGTAGCTACTATTTCAAGCAGGTATTCTGTGAGAGCGTGGTGCTTCGCGGGTTGAGCCAACCCACTCATGCTACAACTATACTACTAATATAGCTGCAGCACGGCTCGACTGAAAGACCTCGGTTTCCTTTCGCACCATGCTGCTGTGTTTCATAGCATGGTGAGTGTAGAGAACCGATGATCCTATTTACTGGAAACAAGGCACTTTATCAGCGCATTCGCATTTTGATTCTTAATCGAAGATAAATGTAGACGTCTTTGTGCCACTACATAATATACCATCAGGTGGACTATATGCTCATTTATCATCACATTCTATAAAAATATTGCTTGATAATCAAATATATCTTTGTAAGGTGCTGACGTACGTGGCGGAGATAACGCAGCCGTACCTGCGCGGATCCCTGTCTGCCACCAGCTCCATGTGCATCATCATCGGCGTCTTCACCCAGTTCCTGTTCGGCTTGCTGATGTACTGGCGCACCGTGGCGCTTGTCAACATCACCTTTACGGTACGCCTTATCATCTATCCGTATGGGATTTTCTTGAATCACGATTTTTTTTTCGCCCGAAGCAAATATGGGCAACCCTCCGGAAAGCGGGGGAGGGAGGTTGGGAATGCTCATAGCATACCACGCAGCCGGCTGCGTGGTTATGTGGTAACTTTTACCCTCTAAACCCAACCTTTTAGGAACCGGCTTAACGATCTAACTATCTCTAAGCCGTATACGAACGCGACCTTCCTTGGCAGAAAGGAGGGCGCAATTGAATCACGACTGAGACGTAGCAGCTCAAGGACTAAAATAAGCAAATTTCACAGATTGGTAGGAACCAGGTACCGTCCTCTGCGTGCTGATATACCACGAGTTCGGTCGGATTTAGTTTTGAGTCAAATTTGTTTTTTTTTTAATGTATTACGGAAGTAGTTACAGTATTCTATTACAACCTGTAAAAGTGCATTGCTAAACATAAGATTCTCACATAGATTGCTTCATAGGGGGATTTTGCCATAGTTGCCACGCTTCGGCAGTTTTTTTTTTCAACAAAACTTCAACCCGTTTTGGCTGAAGCTAACCGTTTCACCGAAGGTGTTTTTTTTTTGACAAATGTTGCGGAAGCCAAAGCGAAAGCTGAAGCTTCTGTCGGACACTAATTCGGACCTTATTATTATTCTAACACAACTAAGCAATCATTTCTATTTTACTTTACAGATACTATCCGTGTTGGCACTGTTCTTCGTTCCCGAGTCTCCACATTGGTTGGTTTCCAAAAAACGCCACGCTGATGCTCGTAAGGTATAGTATATAATAATCTAACACACATACACATGCATAATTATCACAGTCACAACAGGCTATCACAAATCCACAGTGAGCAGAGGTCTCCCCCATAGCCCCACACTAGTCCTGAGCAACCTGCATCCATCGAAAACCTTATGTGACGTGCGAATGCGGAACTTTAATCATTTATTCAGATTTGACGGCTCTGTAGCCCGGTTACTTAGCAATAAGTTGCGACGCTGAGGGTACGAATTCCACACGGAACTAGTATTTGTATGTCTTGCAAATAGTTGTTCAGAGTGTGGATCATGGAGTATAGAGGTAAGAGGAACCGTCTCTATATTACAGTATCCGTAGGAAAGCGCTAAATAAGGGTGACGCCACTGTAGCTAGAGGGTAAATTTTAAAGAACCTTTTATAACTTTTTATTACACAAACTTTCACCATTATTCTTTTTTATATCAATTGTTTTATAGTTTTCAAAATTTTTATTTTTAAAATCACTCTCAACGTGTTTCACACCGAGTTTTTCTAGGTTATATTTACAAAATTATTTTAGACAACGTGAGTAGTTGAGGTTTTAAATACTGCAGTTTCATCAACTACTCTAGTAGTCAACACAAATATTAAATTTCTCAACTCAGCACACGTCACTCCGTCGATACCAGCTAAGCTCATTTCATACCCTCTAGCTACTCTAGCGCTGTTGTGTGGTGTGGATGTTTGTCCTTGTGAAATTTATGTATGTAAACCGTCTCCACGATTCAGGACTCCTAGTGTAACGTTTAAAAAATATATATATTCGTTCATTACAACCTGTCCAAGACCACCGCTGTACATAGCCTTCCCCGTAGCCTCGTAAGGGGGGTATTTAGTTGCCACGCTTGGCAAACGCGGGTTAGAAGACTAACGTGGTAGAGCCATGCTGCAGCTGTATTATGGCTGTAGCACAAATGTGTCGACTCGACCAAGGAAGGACCGTACTCTCACAGAGTAGTTATAGTTACAGCCTATATACGTCCCACTGCTGGGCACAGGGGCACGGCCTCATTTCTTAGAGGGTTTTAGGACAAGAAAGTGTCCGCCACGCTGCACCAATGCGTGTTGGCGAACTTCACATGTCTTCGAAATATTTTTTTCTTATTCCTCAAACATGCAAATTTTCTCACGATGTTTTCCTTCACCGCCGAGCACGTGGTAAAACAGCACTTAAAATTGCAATTAACAATTTCATTGGTGCTGGCGGTGATCGAACCCGGGTTACTCGCGTTCTGTTATATTTACAGAGAGCGTTAATCATCCGAGCTACTACGGCTCTCACAGAATACCAGCGTAAAATAGCAGCTTAATGCTGCTGTGTTTCGTGTGGTGAGGGTAGAGAACCGGAGACCCCTTTGACTGGTAATAAGGCATTTCTTCTTAGTCCTCAAGGGTGGCAATGAATCTGCATTTAAATAGATGGTTGAGGATAAATGTAAGATGTCTATGTATATATCATGATTGTCACTGTCCTTCAAAAGCCGATTGCTAAACATTGGGTTCCCCCAAGGAATGCCACAAACAACGATCTTTAGCCACTTCCGTCCATCGAATTGATTCATCTCATAATCATCGTCACTCCATCTAATGGGGCGTCGGCCTGTACATAGAACATAAATGGTGAAAATAATATAATCGCTTAGTGATCGCAAGACAATGTTTATCAGATAATCCTAACACACCGTATCTTTCATCATTCAGACGCATAGGATGTTTATTCTGTCTGTGAGAAATTTCATTATTTGCTTTGCTCGCCTTTTCATAATTAATTTAAATATCATTCCACTAAGTGGCCAATACCATAGTATTCACTTACCTTCAGGTTGAACGTTTGCTCACTTGTCACCCCTATTCAGTAAAAAAGACGACGTTGCCAATATCTTCTTTCATTCTTCTCTGCCGCCTCACGACACCCAAGTGATGATATACGATATTTTTATATGGCCACAACGCGGTATACAATATTTTTAATCAGGTATAGTAATACGCGCACACCAAAATGCATTTCGACAATTTTTCATTGTAACGAAATAGATTCCTACTAACGCTTACATCCTCATTCATCACTCATTTCACTTATACTGACTGTTTCAGAGTTTGCAGTGGCTGCGTGGCTGGACCACGCCGCAAGCTGTAGAGGCCGAACTAAAAGATATACAAGCGTTGTTCAAAACGAAAAAAGGTTGGGAATTTGTTGCAAATCCTAGATGTAATTGAGGGGATAGATACCACACCCTCTTAAGACCGATTTACACTTCGACAAGTACAATAGCGAGTTAACTTGCGAACCTGGTGCATATTATGTTTAATGGACGCAACGTTTGCGCGCCAAAACGTATAATTATAATTTTATAATTAAACTCGCCACAAACTTTTTATGGTACTATTTATTGAATATTTATACGTTTTATATTGAGTGTTAATAATGAAATGGACGGAAGATATCACGTATAAATTCGTACAGGAGTATTTACAGTCCTCGTGGCAAGTTTAGTTTAAAACAAAGATTTAAAATCTTTGGTTAAAAAGTATAATTTTATACTTTGGGTCGAACGCGAACACGTTTCGTCCTTATGCATATGCATTATTCACTAAAATAAGCTCGCTCGTTTATACGAGAGGCGATTTTAGTTACGGGTGACGGGAGACGCGCAGGAGGGCAACACTTCGTAATTGACTCGCCGATAAAAACTTTTTAACAAAAAAATTAAACCAGCGAAAAAATTGAAAAGCAATAAATTTACCTTAATAACTAAGTTCTTAAACTAATGTAAGTATACCAAAGTAATTTTCAGTCGATGCCATACAAGCAAATTGATTAATTACTTAAATAAATAATGCATTGTTAATTTGATTTGGTTATTTCTTTAAATTTAAAGCAATTTAGTGATCTTTGCTATTTGATTGCTTGGTGCCGACTCAAAGTGACTTAGATATACTTACATTAGTTTAAGAACTTAGTTATTCAGGTAAAAGAAAAAGGTTTATTATTTTTTGCTTTTCAGTTTTTTCGGCGGTAATTTTTTTTTAAAGTTTTTATTTTATGTTTTTTGTAGTTATAATCTACTAGTTACTACATGCTTAATTTTTGATTACTTTTAAAATAGCTAATTACTTTAATTTAGCTAGTAACTGCTATATAATAACAATAATAATAATGTCCTCAAGGCAGCGCAGGACAGGATTATAGAGCCCAAGTGTATGCACAAGCACAGGTGCACTCTCTATTCCCTCACTCTCATAATCAGATGTGACGGTAAACCGACACGACTGGAGAGAGATCAGGCGCAGGACCAACGGCTTTACGTAGTTTCCGAGGCACGGGGGTGAGACACCGCTAACTTCCTGACTCCGGGCAGCTACTGAGAATTTCTTGACAGAAAAAACTCAATAATTAATTTTTGGTCCGACCCGAGATTCGAACCCAGGACCTCATGATCAGCAGTCGCACTACTACAACCACTAGATCAACGAGGCAGTCATCCTCATAACTGACATGGCCATTACTGTTATATAATCCTATTTTAACTATTATTTGTTTAAAGCTGTAACCGACCTCGGGAAGAAAGTGTTTGGCAAAGGGCAGGCATATGTGGCACTGAGTAGAGTGAAACCGCTTGAGGGTATATTGCTTTATCTGAAAACCTCACGATGATCGAGCTTTAACAGAAATGCAGAGACAGAGGTCTACACACAAGAGACTGACAGGTCTAAAGCTCATTCATCGTGTGGTTTTTTTATAACATAATTATTATGTAATGTTGTAATACACAACTCAGCATTAAAATCTGTGAGTAAACAATAAATCACCCATATTTTCCCACTCTCAGGATAATAATTTTTTTTCCAAAATATTATGGTACCAATTTCGAGGTGGTACGGTACCAATTTTTCCTATCCATTAAAAAAAGAATTATCAAAATCGGACTACTCTGGAAAAAGATACCTTTTGACGTTTCACATTAATCATTCCGCAATAACTTTGCACAAGCGTACTCACAAGATTTAAAATAACCATTTACGTAAATCCGAAGAATTATGAATTTATCTACATTTGATTACAAAGTGTATAGTTTTTTATCACTAATTTAAACTTGAATATTTCAAACAAAGCAAAATATTAAAAAAATAACCAGTATCAACTTTTTTACTTGACTTCGTTTCAATGATATGTTGCTATGTATCTATTTTTATTTCCTTTACCGTAGTGTTTGGTTGATTAAAATTTATTGTTATGCGAATAATCGGCAAATATATTCAAATAATGGGTAAAATTATTCAAATAATTGAGACATTAATTTTTTAATGTATTATTTCTTTAATTTAATTTTTATTTTTAAAATTCTTTAAATTATGTGAGTCGTGAATAAAACAAGTTCATTTTTACTACTTTGCCAACGTAAATTTGTGTAGGCAAAATAACACATGTACAAAGCCGCGTTAAAAATACCAATACGTAATTTCAATCACCCTCCATTTTGGGAGCACGCTGTGCGTAATTTTGTGATTTTGTGTTTGTCTTCTTATTTTGTGGTTCGGCTTTAACTTTTTTGGACTGTTTCATCTATATTCGTTGAAGTATATGCCTATGTCACAAGGGATGATTGGGCAAAAGCGGTAGAAAAAAACAAAAAATGTGTAATGGATGACTTTGAAAGAGACATTAATTTTGACTGCATTATTTAAAATCAAATAAGAATTAATCTAAACAACGACAGTTCAACTAGTTGACTGAAAATGATTGAATAAATTTATTTTTAATCTAGTTTCAATCTTAAATTTTTATAACTTTGCCTCTAGAAATAAGCAGTAACAAAAATATGAAGAAACTGATAAATCTTGTGTTTTAAATTATTCGTTTCTAATTTATTCTGATATTTTTTAAACAAAACTGTAAATGATTACCAACTCTAAATAATCAATACCGATTTTTTTAAGAATCGAATATTGTATGATCCCATTTTTTGGTTGGCATGCTTGGTGCAATAAGTCTGACAGCTGTCAAAATTTCTTAGATTTGGTTGACTATAATTCTTCGGTTGAAAAATAGACCGGCCGGCTATCTCATTTCACTTATTGTTAACTTGCTACTTAACTCACAAATTGCCGTTCAAACTATACCTTTTACTTTACTACTGTTTCTACTTTAACTTGCCAAGTTCACAAGTTAACTCGTTACTGTGTTTGTCGAAGTGTAAATCGCTCTTAAATTTGTCAATTAACATTAGAAGCAATTTACCGTCAAGTGGAGTGTAAGTCAGTTTGTTACTTATTTAAAAAAATCATTTAAAACAAAACCTTGTTATCACAATATTAAGGTTTTAATTCGACGTGCAAGTTTTCTATGAAGTTCGTCTTTGCTCTATTAGAGTATTTGTGTTTTTTATATAAAACTGAAGTATCAAACACATAAACTCCGTCTCTCGTCCGTCAGGTGGTAAAGCCCACTTTCCACTATGGGATATAATATAATTTATATTACATAAACACTCACGCCTGTCACCCAGAGGGGTAGGCAGAGACTACAGACTTCCATTTGGCACGATCCTGACACACCTCTCTTGCCTCCTTCACATCCATACACCTACGTATAGATGCTCGTCGGTTAAGGGTACTCCTAATTTGGTCCGTTGTCAATAAATCGTCAATTTGGTCGATAAATTTTCGCCTAGGACGTCCCTTTCCGACTCTGCCATTCACTTCTGCACCATAAATTTTCTTTGTCACTCTTTCCTCATTCATTCTTTCCACATGACCAAACCACCGGAGCATTCCTTTCTTAATCCTGGTCACAACATCATCTTGCAAACCACACTCTTCTCTACAGCCCTAACATACTCCTTAACGACCGCATTTCTACTGCGTTTATTCTACTCTCGTGCTTCTTCTGCCACACCCAACTTTCACTACCATACGTTAAAGTAGGGACCAACACAGCATTGTGAATTGCCGTACGTGCCTTTTTCGACACATTTTGACTCTTCACAATAGAGTGCAAGGGCCCCATTTACTCTATTTCCCGTATTCACTCGTCGTTCTATATCCTTATCATATCTCCCATCCTTGCTAAATACGCAGCCCAAATATACAAACTCATCTACATGCTAGATCAACTCCCCTTCTATTCTTATTTCACAAATCGTTTTACTTTCTTCTCTTTCAAAAACCATAACCTTCGTCTTACTTGCGTTCACTTTCATACCCCTTTCTTTTAATGATCCGTTCATTAAGGTAACCATCATTTGCAACTCGGCCGCCGACGACGCAAGAATAACTTGATCATTATATTACATCTCGACATATAAATTAATATCGCTCACCGTACATTTAAATGGAACCGTTTATATATATATATATATATATATATATATATATATATATATATATATATATATATAACGAACTATAAATATATTTTCGGTCGACCGAGCGATAGTTTCACATTATATTTCATCTCCTGTACCCCGCACATCCTTCCGCGCCTCTTCTACATCCTCAGATCCTTCAATGACGAACGCACACTGTTTAAAAGATATATCTCACAGTGTGAAGGGCAATCGCGGGATATAATTTATAGTACCAGGATGACCGAGCTTCGCTCGATTTTTTTTTTTGAAATTACGTTTATAAATTACATACTGATGAAACTTAAATAATATTTTTTGAATCTTATTGACAGAATAGAAAAAAACTGAACTGATTATTCGAATAAAAAATCATGAGTGCAAATAGTTTTATTAAAATTTTCGTATTTTTAAAAAATACTAAAAAAAGGGCTTGAAATAATAGATTTTCTCACAAAAGAAGGGAACTTGAAAAAAAAGGAAAAAAGCTAGAGACCAGAGACAGGACGCGAACCACGGGACTCCGATATTACACTCGACCGACGTCCCGCCTGAGCTATAACGATCGTTAGTTAACTGTCAAAATTTACCTTCTTATATTGTATAAGTTTTTTATTGTCTGAAAACACGGACAAAAGAACATTTTCTAAAAATAAATCCTAGCTAGATCGATTTATTGCCCCCGACCAGATGAATAAGTCTGGAGACTTTTAAAATAGAATATGATGACAAACAAGCACACAGACCACCTGATGGTATATGTTGTGGCACATAGGCGTCTACATTTACCTTCGATTAAGAATTAAAATGCAAATGCGCTGATATACTGCCTTGTTTCCAGTAAAAAGGGTCATCGGTTCCCTACACTCACCATAATATGAAACACAGCGGCATGGTATTCTGTGAGAGCGTGGTACTGCCCCCGGTCGAGCCATGCTGCGGCTATATTAGTAGTATAGTTGTAGCACGAGTGGGTCGGCTCGACCGGGGGAAGGACCACGCTCTCACAGAATACCAGCGTAAAGTAGCAGCATAATACTGTGTTTCGTATGGTGTAGAGAACCGGAGATCCTTTTTACTGGAAACGAGGCAATCCATTTTAGTTCTCGGGGGTGACAACGCATCTGCATTTTGATTCTTAATCGATGAAAAATAAAGATGTCAATGGGCCTCAGCATCCACTTACCGTCAGGTGGACTGTGTGCTCATTTATCACCCTTATTCTTTAAAAAAAAACACAAGAGTGCAAGCACTGTTTTAGACAATAGGAATAGGTGAGAGGGGTGGTACTAAGCCAGACTGAAACTCAGGTAGATATGGACAGAAGATTAAAAAAAAACTCCAATTTTTCTTTCAGCGGTGGCTGATAACGTCGAGGAGCCTTGGACCGGAGAAATTATCGCACTACCTGGACCGCAGTTTCGTCATGCCTTTCTTCCTCGTCAGCTTAAGCTTCTTTGTGGGCCACTTCAGCGGGATGACCACTTTACAGGTATTTTCAATAGTTTTCACACACACACACACCCGCACACACACACACACACACACACACACACACACACACACACACACACACACATACACACACACAGACACGCACAGACACGCACAGACACGCACAGACACGCACAGACACGCACAGACACGCACAGACACGCACAGACACACGCAGACACACACACACACACACAGACACACACACACACACACACACACACACACACACACACACACACACACACACATACACACACACACACACAGAGAGAGAGAGAGAGAGAGAGAGAGAGAGAGAGAGAGAGACAAACAGACACACACACACACACACACAGACACACACACACACACACAGACACACACA